TTGACTCGACGGCACATAACAACAACAACAACTTTAATTTCTGTTTTGTTAGTGAAACTTTTCTTGATTTCTTGACTATTTCAATGTAATAGTTTTCAGGGCCTCTGAATTCATATTATTTCATAGCTGTATACCACTCACTTTGCTATAAATTACATATTATCTTGTAATCTTTTTTATGTTCCAACTCAGTGGTAGTGAGTGGTAGGTGTATTTATTGTTTGCTTTTTCACTTAAAGTAGTTTGTATTTTGTATGTATTAGACTGGATTTTAGCTACTGAGAGATAGTGTCTATGTTATTATGTTCCTATAATATGTTATTGTTGTTGAATGTAGTCCATTCTGACACCTAGTGACCCTGTATGACAAAGTAAAACTGCCCCACAAGATTTCCTAGGCTGTAATCTTTACAAGAACAGATTACCAGATCTCTTTTCTTCCATGGAGTGTGCTATGTATATAACCCATTGTTGTCCACTCAATTCTTACTCATAGCAACCCTATAGGACCTAGTAGAGCTGCCTTCTAGGGTTTCCAAAGGCATAATCTTTATGAGAGTACACTGCCACATCTTTTTCCCATGGAACAGCTGGTGGGTTTGGACTGCCAACCTTTTGGTTCCTAGCTGAGTACATAACCACTGTGTCACTAGGGTTGCTTGCTTTGTATATAGGTAGATACAAAAAAATAACCAATTGAACGGAATCAACCAGAAGAAGAAGGTAAATTGTTAAGATTTTAAACAATGTCATAGAAAGGATTGTATTGCTTCAGTGACAAGTAGATGAGCCCTATCCATTTGAATAGCAGTAAAAAAAGCCAAAACAAAACTCACTGCTATCAGTGGGATCTGACTCATAGCGACCACTCCTTAGGTTTCCAAGGCAGTATCACTGCGGAAGTAGATTGTGCAATCTTCCTTCTTCCTTCTGAGGAGTGGCTGGTGGCTTTGAACCACCAGCCTTCTGGTTAGAAGTCAAATGCCTTAGGCACTACGCTACCAGAGCTCCTTGAATAGCAGTTGTTGTTGTTGTTGTTATGTGCCCCGACTCATAGCGACCCCTCCTTGGGTTTCCGAGGCAGTATCACTACGGAAGTAGGATTGCCCAACCTTACTTCCGAGGAGTGGCTGGTGGGTAGCTCTATCAAAATAATGTTATCTTCTAGCAGTTCAGTTGGTTAAAGCATATAAATGTTTTTTTTTTTAAATTATAATCTTATACTAAACCCCAGTTTTAAGTGGCTCAGAACCTGTCCTCTTTAATATGTGTGATTATTGGCTGAGGTCCTAATTCATTTGGGCTTGCTTGTTTATAGGACATCTGGAAGATAGGCTCCTAATTTTGGTTCTTTGAAATTGCCAAGCAACACTAGGTACCTTGCAAGGTTGAAAATGCAAATGTTATCAGTGTCCACAAAAGATAAATATTTAAAACAACTAGTTGAATATTATATAGAGTAATTTGATATATGATCATATTGGAGATTATTTATATCTAATTTGTAAAATATATTGACTAACATTAACAAAATGAAAATTTCTTGGTATTGACACAAGCGTAGAGTGAAAATGGGCCTTATTTTGTGCTGCCGTAAGAACTGGAGTATAGTTCTTAGTGAACACTGGAGCTAAATTTCTTGGAAATCTTGGGTGAAAGTCAAATATACAGTGGAGGATAGCATGTACATTAATTTTCTTACATGGTAAGAGCTTGTATTTGAAAGTTAATAAACCCTTATCTGTCTTACATCAATCTTTATGCATTCCATTTCATTTTTGACAACTTCCAATTTTCCTAGATTCATACTTCATGCATTCCATGTTCCAGTTATTAATGGATGCTTGCAGCTGTTTCTTCTCATTTTGAGTTTTGCTACATGAGTAAATGAAGGTCCTGGAAGCTTTATTCCATCCTTGTCATTAAGATTGACTCTGTTGTCAGCCGGCATCTCTTCTTCAGTCATATTTTGAGCACCTTCTAGCCTGAGGGGCTCATCTTCGAGCACTATATCAGAGAGTGTTTCACTGTTATTTGTAAAGCTTTAAACGGTCATTTCTTTCAGAAGTGAACTGCCACGTCTTTCTTCCTAGTCTTTGTCTAGAAGCTCCACTGAAACCTGTCCACCTTGGGTGACCCTGCTGGTATTTGAAATACAGGTGGCATAGCTTCCAGCATCACAGCAACATGCCAGCCACCACAGTATGACAGACTGACAGATGAGTGGTAGAGATAAGAGTTTATTAACTTCAATCATATCATTAATGTCACATGCAAGTAAAATTTTGCTGAAAGTAATTCAGAATGTTACAGCAATAACTTCACAGGGAACTGCCAGAAATTCAAGCCGTTTTCAGAAGAGGCCATGGAGTGAGGGATATCATTGCTGATGTCAAGTGGATCATGGATGACAGGAGAGAATAACAGAAAGATGTTTACCTATGTTTTATTGACTATGTCAAGGCAGTCAGCTGTGTGTATCACAGAAATTACGGATAACCTTGAGAAGAATGAGAATTCCGAAACACTTAGTTGTGCTCATAAGGAATCTGTACATAGACCAAGAGGCAGTTGTTCAGGCAGAACAAGGGAATACTACATGGTTAAAATCAGGAAGGGTGTGTGTGAGGGTTGCATCCTTTCACCATACTAATTTAATCTTCATGCTTAGCAAATAATCTGAGAAGCTGTACTATATTAGGAAGAACACAAATGGCATCAGGTTTGGAGGAAAGCTCATTAACAACCTGCTATATCTGCTAACCAGAAGGCTGATGGTTCAAACCCACCAGCCACTCCTCAGAAGGAAGGTTGGGCAATCTACTTCCATAGTGATACTGCCTTGGCAACCCAAGGAGGGGTTGCTATGAGTCAGGGCCGACTCAATGTCACATAACAACAACAACATATGCAGATGACATAGACTTGTTTGCTCAGAGTGAAGAGGAGTGGAAGCACTTACTGATGAAAATCAAGAAAATAAGACTGTAGCCTCAACATAAAGAAAACAAAAATCTTTACAACTGAATCAATATGCAACATCATGATAAATGGAGAAAAGATTGAAATTGTCAGGGATTTCATTTCACTTGGATCCACAGTCAATGCCTGTGGAAGCAGTAGTCAGGAAATCAAAATGACGTATCACAGTAGGCAAATCTGCTTCAAATCACCTTTTTAAAATTGTTAAAGAGCAAAAATGTCACTTTGATAACTAAGGTATACCTGACCCAAGCCATGGTATTCATGTTGAAACTGGACAATGAATAAGGAAGACCACAGGAGCATTAATGCATTTGAATTACGGTGTTGGTGAAGAATATTGAATATACCATGGACTGCCGGAAGAGTGAACTATTCTGTCTTGGAAGAAATAGAGCAGTAATATTCCTAGAGGTGAGGATGGTGAGACTTGGTCTCTCATACTTCAGTTCTTTTATCAGGAGGGACTAATCCCTGGAGAAGGATATCATGTTTGGTAAAAGAGAAGGTTAACAAAAATGAGGCATGCGCTCAACTGGGTGGATTGACACAGTATCTGCAGCAGTGGCCTCAAGCATAGCAGCTATTATGAGAATGGTGCATTATCAAAGGGCATGGGAGCAGCATCTTCCTCTGATCTCCTCTAACTTCACAAGACAGAATCACCATCAGCAGCCCAAGGCTGATTTTTGTGAGGCCAGACATACTGCCACTCTCAAAACTTTTTACCAGTTCTCATACCAACTGTTCCTTTGATGGCACTCACTACTTCTCTGCTGGGCGCAATAATTCTTTACAGTGGCCACACAGAACTCAGATAATACTCTGGATTATGGGGTTTATTAGGGAAACAACAGGTTACAATTCTGGTTCAGGAGTGTTCAGGTACAGTTCCTTCATCAAGATAGCTTCCCTTTGGCCATGCTTCAGGACTGCCTTTGGCCCTCAGCCTCTTGGCCTTTCTTGCGCAAGTGTTACAAAGCTCTTTTAGCTCTGCCCATAAGTGTACCTACGTGCTCCCCACTCCACCAGCAAGCCTCTTGCCTAAAGGTACTCAACTTTCTCACTCTGTGGGCTTGTAAGCCTGCCACTCTGTCTTGTGCCTCTTGGTTCCCCTTCTACTGTATATCTCTGCTGAGTCTCTGCTGTTGTCTCAGTGCAGGGATCTCGGGTCCAAGGACATACTCCACTTCTGTCTTCTCTCTTGATGGCATTGAGATTCCCCTTTCTGACTCTGGCAGGGCTCATTTTAAGCCTAAAGATATGGCAGAACTGACCAATCCCCACATTAGGGCTCCATACACTTTATTTCTATGGTCCCACCCACACAAGGGTGCAACATACCTTATTTGCTTACTAACAAGTTATCCAGTCCCCTTGGTAGGACATAAAGCACTATACATTTGCATAATTCCATTGGGCGATCTATTTCTGTAGTGATACCACCTCGGAAACCCAAGGCGGGGTCACTATGAGTTGGATCCAACATGATGACAGTGAGTTTGGTTTTGGTTTTACCCAGTAATCTGGTGGGAGTCACAAAGACCACGTTTATAAGAACCATACTAAGTAATTCTATGTGTAGGACTGAGTAGTGTTTCATTCTGTTCTGCACAGGGTCACTGTGAGTGGGAACTGACTTGACGGCATCTTACACAACAACAAATCCTTATGTTTGTTTGGACAAGTTATTTAGAAATGAGACTAATAAAATCCTTTCCTATTGCAGGGACAGAGCTGATATATAAGTTTTGAGACTGTGTAATGTTATAATTAGAATGGTACATGAAGATCTTTTAATAATATGCTGCTACAACAAAATTCTGTTTTTTTCTAATGAATATGTGTGTTGTGTGTTTCAGTGATATGCATTATTTAACATGGATTTGATTACTATGCTTACATTCTTTCTTTTTGTAACAAATCCGATCCAAGTAAAACAGGCTGAAGATGTTACTGCTCATGAATAAAATGCTAGTGGTCTTTTTTGATATAAATTCTTCATTTTAATTTTCTAGGTTCAGTTAACACTCTACACCTACCTGTCCACGGAATTCATTGGTACAGTCAACATATACAATGCAATTCGGAGAGTTGGAACAGTGCTTCTCATCACACACACACTGAAGTACTACTACTGGGCAGTGAATCCTCAGGATAGAAGTGGTATCACTCCAAAAGGATTAGGTATATTACCTCTGTTTATATGTTGTATTATTTGTGTAGCGAATCAGGATTTCATTTATATTTTGTTTTAACAAATACTACTATGTTAACTCTGAAAGTTTTGTATGTCATTATGGCAAAATTGTATTCATAATTTTAAGATTTTATTCTCAATTTTGGTTGACAGAGTGGACTCACTGTTTTTACAGAAAAATTGTTCTTGTGTTGGTATGAATTGTTTCGGAAGCAAATATGACCAAGATCGTTATTTTAAGGCACTGAATCTGAGAAGGAATTCTTAATTAGCTACTGGTGTTGATGTTGAGGGTCATTATCACAATAAGACCCATTGAAAATTCTTTTCCATAGATAATAGCTTTTTGTGGGAATGGGGTTTCCTCGAGAAATAGAGGATATTTGTGTGTAATAAAGATAAAATTATAAAATGTCAGTAATTATATTCCTGCATAATCAGGTCTTACTTAATGGAAGAATGATTGGCACTTCTCATTTTAACAGTTTCTGAGGGATCAACTTCATATCTTCACAACTTTAAATTCAGTAAAAGAGCATTTGCCTTTATGAAGGTTTCTAGCAAAAAAAAAAAAAAATTCTTTTCATATCTCTTTGGTTCTGATTAGATCATGCACCAATAAAATTGAGGGCTGTTGCTTAAAATCAGCATGTCAGGGAGTCAGATAGCTTACATTCTGATTGTAGTTGAATGGCTGTTTAGTGATTTACAAAGACAAGAATTTTTATTTGTATAATACTTTTTATATCACTTTCAAATAAACTCAATTTATTTTCAAAGAATATGATATCTATAATGTATAAAACTGTCAAGACACACAGAATTTATATGATGTATTTAAGGCAGTGTTGTGGCAGATCTAGAGCCAGGTCAGAATTTCCTGATGATGACTTCATGATGTTGTAGGTAGATCATGTACTATCTTGGATGTTAAGTTTTGTATTCTGATCTTGATTTGTAATTGACTAGTGACCTTGAGAAAGACTCATCCTTTATGTGTCAGAGCTGGACAAACTATATGATTCTATTCCAACTCTGTAACCTATTCTTTGTCTAGGAATCATCATGTGGAACAAATTTTAAACAATTTTCCTCCTATTCTAATTGATCTGTTCAGGGTCATGGTGGTCCTATGCCTTGGGTGGTCTAGGAACTAGCTGTAAATAGTGATTAGTGGGAGAAAAATTGTAGAATATGTGAGGCAAACAGGTACCACATTTAGGATCTTAAAACAATGGGTGTTTGGTTTCAAAAACTTTCTACTTGGGGATTATGTGTTTGAGACATGAAAATTGACTTAATGTGAGCCATGTGTGACCACAGAGTTTTTCAAAGGGAGGAGGAGATGTCAAAGGTAGTGAACATAATGATTCCCTTTTCATGAATGATACTTTGTGGTTAGGTGTGCTTTTGAGATTTTTGTATTAGCTTTTACACCGGTAACAGTAAAGAGACATGTTTTTTCATACTCAATTCCCATGTAATATCATTGATCAAATTTTAGATTTTTGCTTTGTGAACTTTTTATACTAATACTCTTCAAAAATCATTTGAAACAAAATGTAAGTGCTTGTTATGTTTTGAGTATGTGTTTTATTTGCTACCTCATTTTTATGTTTTGGAAATCCTGCAACTTTATTTAAAGAAAAAACTTCTTCATTGTAATTTCAGCATAAACTCTTTTGTATACTTGAGGCATTTGCATATTCAATTAATTGCATGTGAGAGTGAATGCTTGTCTTTCCAGAGGCATAAAAGGGAGGTCACTTTGTAAAAGACTGCCCTTTCTATTTCTTATAATGAATGGAAATAAAATATTGTGAATAGGAAATTAAATAGCTTTGATTTTTTAAAAAATACTAAGTATTTGTGTGTGTATTTTTTTTTAAAAGATGGACCAAGACCTAATGAAAAAGAAATACTTTCTTTACGAGCTTTCTTGTTGATGTTCATTAAACAGTTAGTGACAAAGGTGAGTCCATATTGTTACCATGTAGTATGCTGTGTGTGGTAGCCTGTGATTTCATATTATATACAATCTCAGTTTAATTACTCTGCTCTGTTACTAGAGTATACATAGGGAATCCTTTGAAAGAGGCTTGTTTGCTTATTTTTATTCTATTTCTGGGGTCATAAATAAATACCAATTATTACGAAGTTGGAGATTGATAATTTTAATATGTTACATGAATTTGAGTTGGAGTTCAAGTATATTCATTCTTTCATTCAGCAAACATTTACTTAGCTTCTGTTAGGTACCAGGCAGTATTCTTCACATTGATGATGCAGCAGCTAGCAAAGATCATCAAGGACCTTTTGTTTTTAAGGGGCTCTTTATACCTGACATTCATATTTTGAGAAACAGTATTCCTGTGTAAGTGTACCAGATTGTTGTATCAGCCTTTGGAAATGATATTTTGTCTCTTTGCATTCTATTATGTTGTTGTTGTTATGTGCCGTTGAGTCAGCCCTGACTCATAGTGACCCCTCCTTGGGTTTCCGAGGCAGTATAACTACGGACGTAGGATTGCCCAACCTTCCTTCCGAGGAGTGGCTGGTGGGTTTGAACCGCCAACCTTCTGGTTAGCAGTCAAGTGCCTTAGCCACTATGCTACCAGAGATGAAGTAAAATTAAATATTATGTTTGAAGAGGAGTTTTGGTTTTATAAGACAAAAATATATAAACATATTTGATGTCAATGTTGTACTTAATATTTTTCTATATTGTTTTATTTCTTATTGTTTACAATATAATGCTTTGCTAATTGTCACAAAAAATTTTGTCACGTGGACCTAACTTTTAGTGTACCTTTCAGATTCAGATTTTTTCATTTATAAATTTTTCTTCCTTTGAATTTTCTCTATATCTGTATCTTTCCTCAGTGTGTATTTATTTTTTACTTCTGTGTCCTAATTCTCTTTCGTATTGTTCTTTTTTGGGATTGTTGCTTTGTTTTATGATTAATAAATTGATAGTATAGATTTAAGGCTTTGATAAAATTGTTGCCTACTTCAGGATTCTGCAGGTTTACAGGATGTTCATATTATATTATAGAAGGTGCCAAAAACAAGATATTGATGTCATAACTCTTTTGACTACTGCATAGTCTTGTATACTGTATACCAAGTGATTCCCTAAATTTCAATTTTAAATTCAGATTCTACATGGTGCTTTATCTTTTTATATTTATAACAACTGATTAAGTTGATAAATGTATATGTATAATTTCCATTTTAAAAAAATATAGTTTTTCATATGCAAACATAAGATATAGACATACATGTATTATGTTTTAAAGGATTCTGGAGTGAAAGAAGATGAACTACAGGCCATTCTTAATTATTTACTCACTATGCATGAGGTAACATTTGAATTTTGTATTTTGAGATTTTATTTTTTTGAAGCTACACTTTTGGATTTTGTTTTAAAGTAAAAAATTAATATTCCCTTAATGATATATGAGTATAATCAGCATAAATTAGTCTATTTAAGAACTAAATCTTAACAACCATCATTTAAGTATCCTTTATTACCACAAGATGGCTCTGCATTGGCCATAATCATGAAAAGCTTTAAAGAGTTAAAATAAAATCTCATTAAAGTTATAATAAAGAACACCAAAACATACTTACATTGTGTTTCAAATAACCAGTGTTACAAATGGAGAAAAAGGTTATAAAACTGACAGGATAGAAAGATTATAAAACACAATCTTTCTACTGGTTTTCATGTGAAAATACTGTTAAGAAACTCATTTTTAATAGTATTTAAAATTATGCCTTAGAAAGGGTGGTTAAAAATTTAATAGGTTGAAATGATTATGTATGTGTGTGTCTAGCCTGTAGGACAGGTAAATATATGCCAGATGTAATTTAACTGTATAATCTGATTAAATATGTTATAGATGTGTTGGGAAATTAATAGAATTTCATATAAAACATAACATTTTAAGTGACAATTTGCATTCATATGTAATTCATATGTTGTGAATTAGTCAGTATTTGTTGTACTCTAGAATAGTGCTGTCTTTAGTCATTAATACATAAGAGATGATATTCATGTGTATATTTGCTAAGGGAGCTCTGGTAGCATAGTGGCTAAGACACTTGCCTGCTAACCAGACGGCTGGCGGTTCAAACCCACCAGCCACTCCTCGGAAGGAAGGTTGGGCAATCCTACTTCCGTAGTGATACTGCCTCGGAAACCCAAGGAGAGGTCGCTAAGAGTTGCGTTTGACTCGACGGCACATAACAACAACAACAACAACAACATATTTGCTAATTGGGGCAGAAAAGAATGGATACATTTCTTGATTGTATTATATTTGACTCCAGCATTAATGGTCATGATTTTTTTTCTCATTTGAGTAGGATGTTCTGTAATTATTTTGAGATGTTTTGCCCCAATATAATATTTGAAGATTTTTCAAGTCAGTATTATAGGGACCTTCTATTTTCTGTTTGTTTATTTTTAATTAATCCTAAGTGATTGAAATACAAGATATGAACTGGATGTCACAGTGATCCTCTCTCTTCCCTGGGATTTTATTAATTCAGTGACCTTTCAGGTCTTCTAAAATACTGCTTGTCCAAAGGCTCAGTGTCATAGCTCCACATTATCAACTTAGTTTATGAAGAATTATGTATTCAAGTAGCTTTCATAGCAAAGTGTAACAGTAGTGAAGACGTAGGGCAACAAAGATAACTAACCCCTAATAGCTGCTTCCCTTTTCCTTTTTTAGGGCAGTGTTGCCCAAAAGATGGCCCTTAATGATATATCCATACTCTCTGTAAAATATTTTCTTGAAGAATTTTTGTGGTTCAGAACTCAGATGTGCCTCTGTGTTGATATTCTATTAAATGTTACTAAATTGAATCAAATACAGTAGTATGTTGAATTAATAAACATTTGTTGACCACCTGCATTTTTAATAATGAGAACAGATAATGTATGAGAACTATGTAGTTGTCATTTCTCAGAAAGTATTATTTTGTAAGTTGTTTCTCTGGAAGCTCAGTGAACAAAATGTTCCAGGTTAAATAGATTTAGTAAATGATACATCATATGTTGTCCATACTACAACATATATTAGCATATTGAAGTTCTTAATAAGTCCTGTGGTAATAAAAAAGAACAACTTAGTTTTTTCTAGTTTCTTAATGCACACATAAACATTCATTAACAAAACTCATAAAAATCTTATTATATTGGAACTATTCTTTAGCAGAATATGTTTCAAGAAATCTTAAGTATAACCTAAGAGGGATTTTGTTTATTTGATTAAGAAATTGACCATTTATATCATCTGGATTTTGAATTATTACATTGTTGTTCTTGTTAGGTGCCGTCAAGTTGGTTACGTCTCCTAGAGAAGACCCTACGTAGAACAGAATGAAACATGGCTAGGTCCTTAGCCATCTTCACAATTGTTGCTATGTTTGAGGTCATGTTGCAGCCATGTGTCAATCCATCTCATTGAGGCTCTTTGTTAGCAAAAAGGAGGAAGACCCTCAACAAGATGGATTGAATTATTTTACGAGTGAATATGTATATGTGAGAAACACACATTGTTAAACACCAAATGTATATTGTAGATATAGCTATTTCTTTAAAGTTGAAATTTCTGTTGTTATCTGAAGTATTCAGTGTTCAAATATGTTGTTTTTCCCCCTTTTTTAATTTTTAAATTTCTAAAATGATTTTAGGATGACAATCTAATGGATGTCCTACAGTTGCTTGTTGCATTGATGTCTGAACATCCTAATTCTATGATTCCTGCTTTTGACCAAAGGAATGGGTTACGGTAAGAGTCAAGAGTTCTAATAAGTTTGAAAATATGGAAAGAGTATTACATTTGGCAAATACAATTAAATGTGTTAAGATTTTAGACTGACTTAGTTCATGCATTATATTTTTTGAATGAATATTTAATTATAGAGTGTTACTATTTTTTCCTTATAATTTATTTTTTTGTTAAAAATATACACAGCAGAACATACGCTGATTCAGTAATTTCTACATGTACAATTTAATGACATTGAGTACATTATTCGAGCTATGCAGCCATCCTTCCCAATTAACATAAACTTACTGCTCTTTAAGTTTCTTGTCTGATCTTTAGAGATACTGTTGTCAATTTGATCCTGTGCAGATATATTTTGAAAGGGCATAATGCTCAAGGCAGACATTGCTAGTTAAGCTAAACTATTACTTGGTTTTAAGAAGACTTCAGGGAATATTTTTTAAGGTTTAAAGATTATTTTAGGCGAATAGTTCCAGGGGTTCATCCAGCCTCCATGACTCCAGAAAATCTAGATTCCATGAGAATTTGAAATTCCGCTCTGCATTTCTTTCTCTTGACCATGATTATTTTATGGCATCTGTGATCAAAATTTTCATTAACAGTAACTGGACATAATCTAGTTCTTCTGGTCTTGTGGCAAAGGAGGCAGTTGTTCATGGAGATAATTAGTCATACATTGTGTTACTATTTAATTGATGCAAAGAGGTAAATGAGTCAGTGTTTTGTGTAGTGAGTGCTATGATAGAGTAATTGTTAAGTTATGAATTCTTTAGCAGAGCTATCTTTAAGTCCTAGAACTCACTCAAACTCACTGCCATTGAGTGAATTCCAACTTATAGTGACTCCATTGGGTTTCCAAGGCTGTAAATCTTTATGGAAGCAGACTGCCTCATCTTTGTTCCATGGAGTGGCTGGTAGGTTCAAACCACTGACCTTTTGGTGAGCAGGCATACCACTACATTACCAGAGCTCCTAGGACAGTATTGAATTGTGATCTAACAGAAGATCTCTATTCTTTTTATAAAATATCACTTCTCCCAAATGCACCTCAATCCACAATTATTATTGTTGGTAGGTGCCATTGAGTTGGTTCTGACTCATGATAACTCTATGTACAACAGAACAAAACACTGCCTGGTCCTGTGCCTTGCTCACAGCCATTGCTTTTGGAGTCCATTGTTACAGATACTGTGTCAGTCCATCTTGTTGAAAGTCATCTTCTTTTCTGTTGACCCTCTACTTTACCAAGTATGATATCCTTCTCTGATATCTGATCCCTCTTGATAACTTGTCCAAAGTGTGTGAGACAAAATCTTTCCGTTCTCACTTCTAAGGAGCATTCTGGCTGTACTTCTTCCAAGTTAAATTTGTTTGTTCTTCTGGCAGGCCATGGTATATTCAGTATTTGTCCACACCATAATTCAGTTGCATTGTTTTCTTCATTGCTTTTCCTTATTCATGGACAGCTTTTTTTTTTTAAATTGTGATTTGGGTGAAGATTTACAGAGCAAATTCACTTTCCATACAGCAGGTCACATATACTTTGTCTCATGACATTGACCACAGTTTACCACAATGCAACAGTTCCCCTCCCACTTCCTCCCCATAGTTACCTCTTCCTTGTATCTGTCCCTCCATGGACTCCTGCCCCCTGAGCTGTCTTCCTGTGCATAAGCAGCCCTTCTTTCTCCCATAATTGTTCTCTCCAAGGAGAGTATCTACTTGAGGTAAATGTTCAACTCATATGCCTATCTTTTGTTTGGCTGGAAACCACAGGTGTGGGTTCAATTCCACACCTGAAGGGCAGTTAGGAGCCATAGTCTCAGTGGTTCCACCAGGCTCTATTGGACCAGCAAAACTGGTCCCCCCTCTTTTTTTTCCTCCAAATGATTTTGAGTTTTGTATTACATTGTTCTCCCTCTCTGTCAAGGGATAGATCCCCTTCCAAGTGGATGACATTGGTAGCAGGGCACCATCTAGTTCTGGTCTCATAGTTGTATAGGCTGCAGATCGGATGGTGTACCAGTCTCTAGGACTAATTGTTTCCGTGAATTTTGGTTTTCTTTATTCTTCTTTGCTCTGGATGAGGAGAGACCCATCGTTGCATCTAGATGGCAGCTTGCTAGCTTTTAAGATCCCAGTTGCTACTTGCCAAAGTAGGAGGTGGAATGATGGTTTGTATGGTATATTATGCCAATTGAGCTTGATTTCCCCTGCGACTATGGTCTCATGGGCAGCTTTTGAGTGCATATAATGTGATTGAAAATACCATGGCCTGGTCAGGTACACTTTAATGCTCAATGTAACATCTTTGCTTTTTCACATTTGAAGAGGTAATAGATTTGTCCAATGCAATATGTCATTTGATTTTTTTTTTTTAAATTTTTATTGTGTTTGGGTGAAAGTTTACAGAGCAAATTCACTTTCCATAAGGCAGCTCACATATACTTTGTCTCATGACATTGACTGCAATTTCCCACAGTGCAACAGCTCCCCTCCCACTTCTTTCCCATAGTTACCGTTTCCTGTGTCTTTCTCTCCCATACACTCCTTCCTGCCCTCTGAGTTGTCTCCTTGTACATACACAGCCTTTCTATTCTCCCATGATCGTTCTCTCCAAGGAGTGTATCTACCTAATGTAAATGTTCA